AGGGTCAAGAATAGCTTTACATATCGTATTTCCATCTGAATCTTTAACATGTGTTGGCCATATAGGTAAACTTCCCAATGGTTCATATTGATATCTCTCATTCAATACTCTACGTATGTTTCTACATAAATACTGACACAATACCTCCCTATCTTTTTTATTGGTAAACCGATTTTTTTCTATGCACTGGTATTGTTTTATAGCATATAAAACCCAATATGCTGATAGTGAATGAATAGGAAGTTGATGGAAACCAGCGTATCGTTTAGTAAATCGAATTCCAATATTTGCCAATGTATGAATGATTTCTGAAGGTGATGAATAATCACTATGTGTTATTAAAGGTTTGGTCAATATATTTTTTATGCTTACGAGTTGATGTTTATTTGGGTTATTTGGATCATAAACATCTAATAAAGGAAATGACGTATACGGTTTATAAGGTTTATCACCTATACATTTCCATATTTCATCAAGCCATCGTTTATTTGGAATCGATGAACCATATGGTTCCCAATCTCGTTCTGATTCAATATGTAATTCTTGATGTAAAAGATGATTAACTGTTGGCTCTCCAAAATCTTTAATATTGGTTCCTTTACGAAAATCTTCATCCGAAAATATTGATATTAATTTTCGTGATTTTAGTAATTCAATAGGAATAAAATGGTTTGGTCCTGCCGTAGGAAATAATTTATATTGTTCTTTCGTACTAATATAATATATTTTACCGTTTTGGAATTTTCCAAATTTATGATTAAATAATGGAACCATGTGAATATCTTCAAGGTCATCATATTTTTTATCTTCAAGAATATAATGAAATATAATGAAAATATGTTCTTCTTGCATATGTAAGATACTTTCATTATTTTTTAAAATCTTTCTAATAAATTCTGGACTAGCCTTTCGAGGTTGTAACGTTTCTAATTCTTCTAAACGTTTAACTTCCATTAAAACTGCTGGATATTCTTGCTCATTAAGGAAGTGAACAACTGCTTTTGGTGTTTCTTTAGTTACAAAGACACATTCTTTGAAATTAACATATGTACCATCCTTATAAGTTGACCAAAATATTTTACTTCCTTTTTCTGATGCAAGTTCGATCACCTTTAACCCATATCTTAAAATTTCCGCATTTTTATTTTCTGGAATCGGCCATAATCGTGTAATACCTTGAAAATTTGCATTGACTGATAATTTAGATCTAGACTGTTTTTCTATTTTTATATATTCTTCAAAAAGCTTCACATGAAGTTTTGGAAGAACTTTGTCCAAGATTTTAAAATTTTGAGTTGCTTTTGCTTCATTTTTAATACAAGTTTGATTATCACTTGCAAATACGAGACTTCTTCGGTCTGATGAAAGAGACCAACCACTTGCATGTATGTTTACAGAAAGTCCTGAAGGAATAGAAAGTAAAAGATATGCATGAAAATTTCCATCCTGTGCTATTTCTTTTGCTAATAATGGATTTTCAGGTGATTCAGGAATGGTGACAGATATTCCACCCCATGTATTTAGGCTAATGTTATTTTCTCCAGAACATATGAGCCACGACTTTTTTTCTTTCTTTCTTTCTCTCTTATCTACTAAACCGTTACACATAGTTAACACCCGTTTTTCAGCAAAAAGTTCAAGCTGAACATCAAGTTCAAATACTTGTAAATCTTTTCCATATAACTTGCGATTTTCTGCATTTTTTGTAATTTCAACTCTCCATAAAGGTATTGGATCATCATTCTTCCTAATACTGGATTTTCTAAATACTTCAAAATATTTTACATTGCGAAGAAAAATTAATTCTGCCATCGCATCTTTCTTTATGATGTTTAATGATTCCATAACCTTATTAATATCATCAATTTCATCTGAAATTAAACTTTTAGTTTTTCTAAGTGGTAATCTAAACAATGTTCCTTTAAATTCTCTATTATAATCAACGTCGAATCCACATCCTTTAACTTTCAAAAAAGGTTCAAATTGATCTTTAAATTTCTTAAAGACATGTTCTTCATTATAATTCTTAAAATTAAATCTTGCACCAGAACTATTATTAGGAAGAATTGATTTTTGAGGATCAAAAAATATTACATCCGTTCCTGATATTAATTGTGGTAAATCTGTAAAATGATAACATGAATTAAATCCAAGACCAAATTTTCCTATTTTATCATGTCGTGACCATTTACTACTTTTTCCAAGATTACAAAGTGATTTAAAATCTTCTTGAGAAAATTGTCCATCATTATATATCCATATTGCAGGTCCTTGTAAACTTTCCATAGTATCTTGTCTTAATAAAGATTTATTTGAGTATTGACTGTCATCAAGAATAACACAAAATCGGGTGGCTCCTGCATCATCTGCATTCTGAAGAAATTCTCTAAAAACTATTTCTTTACGATTATAATCCTAATTAAAATTATCAAATAATTACTAAACTGTTATACTTTAAAAAAAATTTATTACAGTCGATACTGTCTAATTGCATAAACAGTATTCTCTAAGCTCATAAAAAATTTTGGCTTTTAATTATTAATACCAAAATAGGTTCTTTTGCATTTAGACATAATCGACTGTATAAATTAATAAATTGATACATTACCCTAAGAATATTTTTCAACCTTGTAGTCAATTCTTCATGTTGCCCAAAATTAAACATAGTATCTGCTAAGAAAGTCTCACTTAAATGTTTTAGCTTTAATCTATTTGCTAAATCTTTTGAAATTTCTGAATGTGCTAAAGTGTTAAAATCTTTCATTGAATCACTAACCCTTGAACCCATATCATCATATAAAACGATTTTATAATCTACCATTTGACATTCCATATTTGGAATTAATAATCCTGTTAAATCTTTTTCAGTTTTTGATAATTTATCAATTATAGCTATTACACTAATTTTTTGTAATGGATCTGAAAAATCTGCATCAGAAAGTACTCGAAAATAATCATCAGTATCAAGTGCTTTTTTAACACTAAGTTTTTCAAAAAGTGTTGAATATCTTTTATTTGGATGTGAAATTTGAACCCAATAACCATTAGGTATAAAACTAGGTAGAGAAAATACAACTTTATTTGTCGGATAAAGTTTATCTTCATTTAAAATCCATTTTTTTCCTGATAATTCTTGTTTTAAAAGGTTTAAATGAGTAGATCCATCTGGTTGATTAATTATATCAACGAAATGTTTGTAAATTGAATTAATTTGATCTCGAATTTTATAATCAAACATATTAAATTTTTTTGTTCTTTTCAATACTTCTAATGATTGTAATAATTGATTTATTACAATCTCTGTTGGAGGAATACTATCCCATCCGAGAACTTGACGTAAATTTTCATTCATTATTTTATTATTAACTATTGGTAATGTGTAAGAAACCAGGTCTGCATGCAATCGATCTCGACAATCTGAGGATTTTGAAAATAAAGGTTGAGCATTTGAGTTAATGGTTGGAATCCATTTTTCTGATCGAATCTTTTCTTGAAATGAGATGTTATCTTTAAAAACTACATAATTATTGTCGATATAATTCAAAAGTGAAAGAGATTTTGAATGTACTTCATCAATTTGATCCTGACTCATTCTTGATTTATATACTTCTATTCGATTAATAATATCCTCACTAGTTACCAATTTTTTCATTCCCAATTCACCTAATTTAAAAAGGTAATCAAGAGTTGGATACTTTCTGACAGGAAAGAATGGTTCATCCGAGAAGAACAATTCTTTTATCCAAATTTTTTCTGGGTCAAAAAGTTCGATTGGTTTTTTACGACCTGAAGAAGTTTTAACGAATGCTATTTTTGAAAGTTGACTATGAAAAGGTTTAATTAGTGTCCATCTCTCAAAAAGCTTTACAATCACTTGATCCATAATACGAGGTGATTGAAGGCCTAAATGTGAAATAACATGTTCTTTCCAATATTCTTTTTGATCTAATCGTTTTACTTTGATCACATTTTCAAGAATAAAACAAGTATCATCAGATGTATGAGCATCCAAGAATGCACAAGGAGAAATAATAAGTCCACATGTTAATTCATCTTCTTTAGGAAGTAGGTAATACTTCTTTCCCTCTGTATCCAATGAATCAATACTTAAAGTATCATTCTTGTTCACTTCGTGAAATATTGGAAGTTGCTTGATTACATCTACAACTTTTTGATCAAAAGAAGATTCACATCGTAAATAAGCACCAATATAGGCGATTAAATCTTCTTTTTGACGCTTTGATAGATCAGATTGAGTAATGTTTAAAGGAAAAGAAGGATTTTCTCTGAGAGATGAAAAGACATCCGTAATATTACTAATCTCAATCACATAATCTCTAAGGCTGTAATATATACAATATATACAATATATACAATACATATTCAGTATATAAATTCAATATATAACAAAATATTTAAAAGTTTATAAAATTTCAAATTTGCAAATAGACATACCCTTCATATTTAGAAATTACTTGTTTTTCAAACTTGATATCGACAAAGGTTGACCCCAACGATTTCAATGGAGAAATTAAATTTTGCAACAATGAAGTTGAAACGCGTAATGGACGACATAAACATTTTGGTGTTTCTTTTAATTTTCTCAGGGTAATAACATCATTATTATTTTCGATAAGTAAAAGATAAACATCTGAAAAGTTTTGTAAATTTCTTTCAGTCAATTTTAAATGATTCCAAATTTTATATATCCATTGCATCTGATTTGTTTCTATTTGCAATTCTCGAATGTCTTGAGAATTTTCAGAATATATTTTATATTTATTTAATGATTTTTTAAGAAATTCGGCAAAATCAATATCTGAAAGAGTTTGTATATTGATATTCTTTTTATTTGTTGCATAACTTTGCAATATTGATAAAAGTTCATTCCCGATTGTCGTATCAACTATTTCTCCTAGATAATCTTCATTAATAAGAGTATGTTCATCTTTACAAGCAATGTAAAATTTACTCCGGGTTTGAGATTCAAAAGTAGTAAAGGTTTGATTTTCAAGTGGTAGCAAAGGAAGACCATAAAGTTTAGAGATATCATTAACTTTGAGAACATATTCCAATAAAATCAATTTTTCTTGACGATCAAGATTATTTAATCCGTTCAAATTTTCAAGAATAAATTCACAGACTTTTTCTGGAGTAACATAATTCAAAAGTTTTTTATGTTTCGAAATATCTTGTTCCAATTGGGTGATTATTGGTTCCGGAATATTTACAAAGATTGGAAATTCTAATCTGGTTAATATTTCTGATAGAACTGTAAATTTATCAAATTTCTTGTCGTTTAAATATCCATCTTTAATTGATAAATATTTTGATGGACCACGAAAAACATAAAGACTAGGATCAAGTTGATTAATAACATTCTGTAAAAGATTGAACCATAGACAATCTTTTTCATCTAATTCTCGATAAGATCCATCCGCAGGTATTGGCCAAAGAGTATAGATTTGTTCATATGATACATCTTCTTTTACTTGTGATAAAAGTTTTTTCCATGCCACTGGGATAACGTTTTCAAATAAATATCTATTCCATGTGCTTTTAAGGCGCAATAAATCACCTGATGCCTAGAGATAAAAAAAAAAATAACATTTATTTTTATTTAATGTTTATTTAACGGTCATATGAGTGATCAAATAACAAACAATCTAATAATCTAATAATGATAATACCAGATCTTCATCCATAGAAACTTCCAAATTCCTTCTATTTTTACTAACAGC